AGACGTGTGCTCTTCCGATCTCCCCAAAACCCCAAAACCCCGTAAGAGAATAAATTGCAATTGCAATGATTATAATAAATATTGGTTTGAATTTTCTTAAAAAGTAATTTAAGTGCCTCTGATTCATTCTTGTCAATAATCGTTGAGTTGCTAGTGTTGATCCCCCTCGCAAACTACAACCTTCTACTTCTTCTTGGCTCTTCTTTTGGCATGTTTACTCAACTTCTACTCTTCAATAGGATACTCATTTGCAAGTGGCTGAGAAGTTTACTTGGGTTCATGTACAATGCTGCCAAAATTTTTGCGCCAAGCTTCTTAAGCGATGGGGGGATCTTAGGAGGGGTTCTAGGTGTTTTAATTACTATTGGCTAATATAGTTGCATGTTGCTGAGCCTGAACATTCATCAAATCATTGTATGCGGTTTTGTCCACCTACTTGGGTCCTTTTTCATTCGTTTTAGACATTTCTTGTCTCATTATTTGAGAAAATACACTATTTCCACCAGGGGGTCTGAACCATTTTTTTGGTTAAGCCTATTATTTAACTTCTTCTTAAGCTTTTCCAAGAGAATTCAGGTTAGGCTTTGGCAAGATACCTTTTTCGAAAGGTTACCAGTGAATTTCATTCAGTTCTCTGTGGTTAAAGTCAATTGTGTGAAGAAATTGACCATTTGCTAAGAAGATTTTTACATCATTATCTACTTTTACTCTTTCATACAGAACTCCTGTCATGAAATATAAACCATTTGGAGCCCAATCAATACCTACTGCACAATAAGACTTTGTCTTTCCAAACTCAATGTGCTTCTCAAGGTTCCAGACATCGATCTCGCCTGCCAAGTTACCAAATCCTCCAATGATAGCTGCATTTGAAAAAGGATCAATTCTAATTGTGTTTCTGTATCTCTTTCCGAATTCAAACAATGGATTGCTATCCTGATCATATAGTGTTGCAACAGCTGGTTATGTGCCTGAAATCACGATGAAATAATCTCCAAAAGCTGACCATTTAACATCATGAATCATTCCGTCAAATACTGGCACAAAAACTCTACTTTTGCCTCCTACAAGTTGGATATATTGAAGACAGTGCTCTCCATAGTAACTCTTTCCTGATGAATCTACATAGTTCTATGACCAAATAAGGATAGCTGCACCAGTTGGTGATGGTCTGAGATAGATTTCTTAAGCCTTGCTGCATTGAACATTAAACTTAGGTCTCTCGATAGATGAGTTAAGATCAAAGAAATAAACATTTCCACTTTGATCATTAGACTCAGTCAGTCCTTCTGAGTTTTACCAAGCGACCATATAATGCAGTTATTATTATCCTGATTTATCAGTGCATACAGGAATAAAATCAACTCCATCGAACCATAAGCTTTTAGCTTTTTGATTGTCATTAGGATCAGTTTTTTTGCCTAAAGTTTGTTGGTTAGCAACAATTATAGCTTTTGGCTAGGAAAAATCTCCATCTTAGTAAAAATCTATTGATGTCTTAGAGGATAATCTAGCACAAAATCTCTCATCCTTTGAGAACTTAATGCTTTTTGGACCTTCTTTTGATTGCTTTTTCCATTCGAATTGTGCTACTTCTCTGCCAGTTTAGGTGTTCCAAACGAGTAAATTCTTCTTTCCAGCATTGTATTTCTCGCTTGTGATCAAATAGGTGTCCCTCGGTGAAAAATCTATTGCTGTCACCGCGTATTAGTCCACAAATCTTATCTCCTTGCCTGTTTAGGTGTCCACCCAGTGAAGTCCCATACTGTCAACTATCACGGCAAATTGACCCTTAAATGGCGCAAACTTGCCTGTAATAGCAGTCTTGTAAACAGGAAAATCTTTGTCAAGTTCCACAGTGGTTTCTCTTGGTGTTGAACCAGTTTAAGTGAGTTTATGAAACTCTGCACCTTGACTCGAGATGGTCAAAATACGCTGTACAAGGGGATTTGACTGAACTTTCTACTCTTCTTATAGATTGAATATGCTATTTGCTACAAATTTACTTCCTCCCTCCATTTAGGCCCTTTTATATACACCTATATATTATAAATTTATCTTGAAATACCCATCTTAATGAATTCTTTAATCCTGACTCTCGGGGTTTTGGGGTTTTGGGGTTTTGGGGTTTTGGGG